GCGGGTCGCCGTGTTATGACTCGTTGCCCAGCTTTCTGATTGGCCAGCTTCTCGACCAACCAAGAAGCCAGGCAACGCGTCATTACATGACGCCCTGGTGGCGAGGGAGCATGGAGACAGCTTCCTTGCTGAATGGGAAGCCGGGTGGCGAGTCTTTACATGCCGCCCAGCTTCCTGACTAATCAGGAAGCCAGGTGGCGAGTCATTACATGCCGACTGGCTCCCTAATGGACAATAGAAAAATGTCACCAGCACACCACAAGTTGAAAAAGCAAAATATTTTATTGCCAATAGCTGTATCTCATTGGCAAGCGCTTTTGGGGGCCTCGCAGGGTCCCCTTCATCAGGCTTAGAGATAACTTAGAGACTTAGAGTTATCTCTAAGCTTGATGAAGGGGACCCGAAAGCGCTTGCCAATGAGATACAGCTATTTGCAATAAAATATTTAGCTTTTTCAACTTATGGTGTGCTGGTGAAAGGTTTCTATTGTTCATGTGTGGCGGTGCCATCCGGTACCCAATCCATTATGTGTATATAGCGCATATGTCCCGTTGTTGAATGGTCACTTCTTATCCTAGTTTGTTATCATATATATAGAAAACTTCACAAATCTCAAAAAAAAAACCTTCTTTCATAGATCGATGAATTGACGCATTTCATGTTGCACATATATTTTATTGCTGAGCGTTATCCATTCCGTGTGCATTATGTGTGAAATCAATGTTCCATTATTTTATTCATAAGATACCACATCAGGCCATCAAAAACATCTGATTCATCAGAGGCCATATACGTGTTTCATAGACCTGCATTAGACATGAGGATACTGAGGGATATTCTGTTGGAACGTCTTGCACAGCCGCACAAAGAAACACAAGCACACAGTCAGATATGCATGCTGCACATGGCTTGGAAAACACAGGAAGGATCAATAGTGACAGTGCTTCCAGTTCGGAGTCTGCACTATAGATGGAAAATCCAACAGGTTATGGGCCCAGGCAGGGGCGTAACTAGAAATCATGGGGCCCCGTGATTGCTAGTTATGCCACTTGCAGAGCCCACCATAGACTCTCTATAGTGGGCTCTGCAAGGTCTCAGTTGGGCTGCACGCCTCTTACCTGTCAGCGTTGTCCACCTCCGTGGTCACCGCCGCAGTGCCCCTGCCTCCTCTTCCGTCCCCGGGGTCAGCCTCCTTCTATCGACCTGCTCTTAGATCGCTGGCCAGTGATGTGAGAGGAGTCGGGGTTGCTGTTAGGCGGGCCCTGCCTCCTTCTTTACTGCACACGCCGGTTTAACCGGCCTATTCTGCCGCATCTGCTGGCTGACACTGACATAGCTCCGCAGCGGCTGTGATGGGGAACTTTCTCCCTCACAGCTGCTGCTGAGCTATGTCAGTGACAGCCAGCACCCGAGACGCCATAGCGACCCAGGCGGCCCACACGGCATCAGAGGGATGCCCTGGCCGGCCCCCCTGTGCCCGGGCCCCATAGTGGCTAAAAGAAAAGGAGCACAAGATACACCAACACAAAGAGACTACAGCAACTAGAAGAACCTGGCTTGTACCACAGCAGCAACAAAGCTTTCGTTTGCAAATCTGACAAACCAGAACTACCAGTCAGGGAAATTCAGGATGAGAATGCTACTAATAAGAGAAGGTACGTGGAAGTGTGTGGATGAAGTCAGTCCAGGACAGCCCACGGCTGAATAGACAGAGTCAGATCTGAAAGCTCAGAGCACAATCTCTCTTAGCATAGAAGATGATCAAATCATACATGTATGTAAATGTAAAACTGCTAAGGAGATGTGGGAAGCATTGCAAAAGGTGCATGAAAGATCTAACCTCAGCAATAAACTGTATCTGATTAGAAAACTATACCAAACCAAGCTGATGAAAGGCCAGGATATACAGCATTACATAAGGCATACCTTAGAAATGGTGGAACGCCTGAGAGGTCTAGGACAGTGGTGGCGAACCTTGGCACTCCAGCTGTTTTGGAACTACAAGTCCCATGAGGCATTGCAAGGCTGTGACAGCCACAGACATAACTCCCAGAGGCAGATGCATGTTGGGATTTGTAGTTTTGGAACAGCTGGAGTGCCAAGGTTCACCACCACTGGTCTAGGAGAAGAAATAAAAGACTTTCTTGTTGCAGACATCCCAACCTGCAAAACCTTATTTCAGGGAGGTGCCCTTCTCATTTCAGGGAGGTGCCTGTCTCATTTCAGGGAGATGCCCTTTCTGGTTTTTTTTTATAGCGGCCGTCGTCAGAATATAGAAGAAATAATAATAATATATACTGTATATATATTTATTTATATATACATTTGTACACAGATTTGTAAATCGATGTTCAAGTATCTGTCAGTGTAAAGGTCACAATTTATTAGACAGCCCAAGACCTTTTAAAAAAAAGGCTGAGGAGTAAAGTCCCTGATACACAGTTGACTAGTTGCTATGGGCAGCAAATTAAATAAATATTCTCTATAACTAGACAACCAGGACATATCATTGATTCTATATTATCCACAAAGGGTTAACAGCACTCTCACAACCCTGCAGCAGTAGATCTCAGTGCCTCTACCTGCTCTCAATAGTAGTCTATGTCCGCCCTCTCTGTGCAGCAAGTAGCTTCTTCCTTCTGAGAGCCAAGCCTCGTTCTGAGGCTACTCTAGAGATCACATGACCTTCCTCCAGGAGGCAAGCCTCACTCTGAAACTTTACCCACTGATGTCTTACCGGAAAGGTTTACTCAAAGTAAACCTTTCAGGGAGAAAATGCCTCTCTCGCGGACATCAGGGAGCCGCTATCTAATAGCGGGAGACTCCCTGAACATCCGGGAGACTTGAGATCCCTGCATGTTGCAGCACTATTACTGAGTGGTTTACCTGAAAGTTATGAAACACTTGTTACAGCACTTGATGCACGTCCAGATGATGAACTGACATTAGAATATGTTAAAGGCAAGCTTGTGGATGAATACAAGCGTAAAACAGAAAGGGATCAGTGCTTCCAGTGCGGAGTCTGCACTAAACATGGAAAATCCAACATATTCCACCAGCCAGAGCCGAAGGGGAAGAAGAGGAAAGCGCCGACTGCTGGGGGAACATGGTAAGTACAAGTGCTTCTCTCCGGTTCCCTAGGTATAAACAAGCACTTGAACCTTGCTTTGCAGGGGGAGTTGTTTTGCTTGCCTGGAGATAGGCTTTATACAATGGCATTAGCTGTGCCCTCCAGATGCCTTGTGTTATTCATCCATCCTTCAGCATTTGTTTTCTAGTTAGATGGAAGAATTCAGTGGCTGACCCCAAGTAAGACTTCAAAGGCCAAATAACTGCACTTTTCCTGTTAGCATAGCTGAAGTAGGTGAAGAAATATTTGATGGTCGATATGTCATTGTTCTGTCCCAGACATGCTGTCTTCATTTCTTCTGCCTTTGAAACATTAATCAATCATTCTAACCAATAATAAGCAAACTGGTTCATTTATGGTGTACCTGTCAGGTGTACAATGTTGGCATGCTGTTGCGTAAGGAATTGGTCGATAGCATGTTATGACATTGGTCAACAGGCATTAGAAATTATTTAAAGACAATATAAAGCTGACTGGTTGATTTCAGCTTCCTAAAGCTCTGCATATTAACAGCTGATTTTTTTCTTTCATGAAATACTGTTCACTTTTTTTCATCCTTTCTTGCATCTTAGTCCTGCAGCTTTTTGCAGCCACTTCCTGCCTATAAACTCCAGGGGTTGCTCAATGGTATTTCTCTAGGCAGGTTCCCATACAGGTAGCACAGACATCTTAATCCAATCACCATAGAATGTGTCAAGGCAGATGTTGATTGTCCAAGAACAGGATAGGAGGTTGTGTGAAGATCTAGACACTGATGGCAGTCTAGATGACATATCTCTGCCACTCTCCCGTCTTGCCCCATGGGTTACATATTTCTGGGCTTCCCACTTTTTATTTAGGGAAGACCATTCTGAAAAGAGCACAGAAACTAAAAAATGTATGTTTTAGTCCCCTCCACTCTTCCAAAGACCTCCTGTTTTCCAGCTCCCTAGTCAACTCTTCCCATGCTCGCCTCTAGGACTTCTCTAGAGTCTCTCCCATCCTCTGGAACTTTTTTACTTTACCCCAACCTGTCCGTCTATTTCCCACTCTGACTGCCTTTTAAGCGATCCCTTAAGACTCATCTCTTCAGGGAAGCCCATCCCGCCTTGCTCATACAATTCATCCGCACGCAGCTCCCTCCTCATGTATCACTTTGCCCTCCCTTTTAGATTGTAAGCCCTCAGGGGCGGGGCCCTCCTTACCATCTTGTCTTGGTTTGTATTGTAATGTCTTCCTTATATTGTAAAGCGCTGCGCAAACTGTTGGCGCTATATAAATCCTGTATGGTAATAATAATAATAATAATAATGTTGAGGTCCATAAGCATCCCATGCCATTGTGTTAGAACAGAATTTTTTTTCTTGGGATTGAGGCTCTGATAATTGAGGAGATCCTTCTTGTAAAGGTGCCAGTGTGATCTCTGCAAGAGCATGTAAAATTACAAATTTTTTTTTTGCACACTGCATTATTTAGGGGTGCGTCCTACTCATGTTAGGCAAATGTTCACGTTTGAACTGGTCTTTGGTGGCCATGTGAACGAGATGTAGGCTCTAGCACTGGGTTTGCGTATGTATAGAGTGCTAGCAGGTATGGCAGTAAAAAAGTTGAAATAAAATGATTAGCACGTCTCAAGTAATGCTCTATTAAAGCTAGGAAACACAGGCTGTGCAGGAGAAACTTAATATTACTATGGGGAAGCTATATAATGCTTTGTAATGCTTGCATGTGCCAACATTATAATGTAGCGCCCTCTAAAATGTCACTATTCAATTTAGAGATACCTGGACTGTAACCAGTCTAGATACTGATTATACAGAGCTCTGCATTCTATAGGTGTCCCTGAGTCTGCTGGATTGATTGCTCCTCCTGTTGCTGAGGAAAAGGGAGCCTTGGCATACAGTGAGGGAGGATCCACCCTCAGGTTATGACTATGCACCTGGCCCTGGCCAATCCCTGAGTAGGATGACTCAGAGGCATGGTTGAGGGCAGGTAATAAAAGGTCTGGGGACATTGTGGAGAGCTCTCTTTCCCCTAGGGGCCTCGCCCTAGGAGGACTGTGTGTGATGCAGAGCAAGCAGCCTGGGCCTCAGCACATGGCAGGTGCTGAGGGGCCTGGAGGCCTAAGGATACACTGATACTTCACTGGGCCCATACACGTGGCAGGTGTTGGGTGCCTTGTTCTAAGAAGATACTCTCATTTAACTGGAGTGCTCCTTGGCAGTTGCAGATGCTGAGGGCACAGAAGTTCCAGATCCTAAAGAGGAAAATACCTGATGGAAGCTGGGTCGGGGAGGAGTCCGCTTGTTGAGGGGTACCGCAGAGGAGCTGGTGCGAGCGTCCGTCTGGGACCCACAAGGGAGATCCCACACCCTATTCCAGGTATCTGTTCACAGTACTACTACTACTACTACTATTGGTCCCTGGGACCAGATCGCAGTGATTTCGGCCTTAGCGGTTGCTAGGGGAGAAAGCTGTCCTCAGAAGTATTTCCAAATGGCATCCTACAGATCCTAAACCCTCTCTCTCCTATTGATGTTGCAAATAAATACCCTAAAAAGACCCTAAGACTCGAGCCGTTCTGTCCGTGAGTGTCGGTGTGCTGTTGCTGATTAAAGGGGAATGGCAGCTGGAACCAACAGGTAGGAGAACCTATTTCAATATTCAGCGGCTCCTTCGGGGGTGAGCGCTACAATAACAAAGAAAGAAAGTCTACCTAAAAGTTTAGTGGAGGCAGTTAAATCCCATCTCCAGCTTAATTCTTTTTCATAAAAAGATTCCCCCCCACTACTGTATAAAGAAAGGGGCAAATCACTGCTCATCTACTCCATGCTCCAGCACAAACCCTCCTCCATGATCCAGCACCAGTACACTTCCCCTCATTCAACCTGTGAACTTGTGCCATCATGTCACCTTTCTTAATGGTTGAATGCTACAGAGAGATCATTCAGAAAGCATCTAAGACAAGGAATATGTAGAAAAAGAATTTGATAAATACTTGTGGGGAGAAGGAGATTATTTACTAGAGTTTTAGCCCAGTTATTTATTTGGCTTTAATTCTTTACGTAGGCTCTATTAGTCTAAGAGTTGGTAGAACTCAACTGGAAGGGACTGCTTGGAACCAATGTGATAGAACCCCCAGGCAGGAGGTCCGGGAGGAAAACTAACTTCCCAAGTTCACTCCCAAATCTTTATACCCTTTCCCAGCCTAGCACCACTGGCAATAAATATCCCAGTGTTTGGTCAGACAGGTACAAACATCCATCCATTAGTGCAGCCAACTACACTATTCCCAGGGACACTCCGCAACAGCAGGCAGAAGCAAACAATCACCAGTGCTTGTGACAAAACTCTAAAAAGCCAAATTATCAGTCAGAATCAGGCTGACTGCAGCCCGTCAACTTCTAAATTCAAACAGACACTCCTGCTTAGGGAAGGGTGGCTACACATAGCCCTGATAAAAAGGGCAACTTAAAGGATATCTAAACCCATGAACAAAAATGTAATACTGTATACTTACCAGTCCATAGGGGTAGGGGCTGCTTTAGTTTTATTGTTGTACTTTTTTCTCCCTTTTATATTCACCTGATCATCCTGCCAGTTAAATACTTCCAGTCCTAGAGTGACAATGGCGACTGAGCTTGCTGTATTTATACAAGGGCAGTGTTGTCACCCTAGGCTGCTTTCCTGATTTGGATTACAAAAACGCCTCCCTCTGTTCTTCGCCATTAAGAAAATAGACTGCCTGTCACCACCTGCTAAGCATATAGGTCAGAGCCTTCCATTGGATATTAGGTCTAATTTAAGTAACGTTATGTGCCTCAAAAATGAGGTCAGCTGCCTACCTGAATATACGTAATGATCAGGTTTTTCCATCAATTGATTTCTTTCTTCCCTGATGGCACATTGGACATATTCCAAGATGACAATGCCAGGCTTCATCGGGCTCAGATTGTGAAAGAGTGGTTCAAGGGTCATGAGACATCATTGTTGGGATGTGCTGGAGAAGATTTTACGCAGCAGTCTGACTCTCCCATCATCACTACAAGATCTTGGTGAAAAATGAATGCAACTCTGGACAGAAATAAATAGTGACATTGTATAAGCTTATCAAAATTATGCCACGGCGAATGAGTGCCGTAAACAAAGCCAAAGGAGGTCCAATGTAATATTAAAGTGTGTGACTTTTTTGTTGTTGGAAAGGCCGTATATATAGCTAGAGACATAAAAACGAATGCAGCCACCACATCTATGTGGTTCTATACCCCGAGTTACCCAAATTTCTAATTTGACAGGCTCACTGTAAATAAGCAAATATGAGAAGAAAATAACTTAAAATTGTGTAAATTTACTGGCGGTTTTTGTCTTCACTGAAGTTTTGCTTTAGTGCATCTTCTCTGTATAAACAGCCTCACGTGATGTTTTAATACAAGGCGGAATTTCCAATAGTAGCTGAACGTAATGCAGAGAATGTAAAGCATTTCCAGGGCCGGCCTTAGGCCTTTAGGTGTCCTGTGCGAGAAAGCTCTACAGCGCCCCTCAGTGACCACACCCCTCAGTGGCCACACCTATTTTCCCCAATATCAGCACCATTTAAAGACTCCCATTTTGTGAAGCCCCAAAGAAACAGATTAAAAAGTATGATAAAAATAAAACTTTTATTCAAAGGTATTAAACTTGTAGGCACAATATAAGTATTCGTATTAAATAAAACAACAGAAGGTAAACAATAAATGTCAAACTACAATAGAGTCTATAAAAATAAAGTGTCAGGATGTCATGCCGATCCCTTTTTTCAAGTAAGTGCATCTAGAAAAGTAAAAATAAAAAACAGAACACAAAACCCGGGCTACATGTAAAATTAATAAATTACTATTTGCCCGAATATACATATAATAATTTGTTTGAGAATGCAATAGGCCCATATTGGCCACTGGTGCGTTCTGCGAATGCGTGCCACCATCTTGGAGGCGGGGAGCATGATGTCACATGGCGCTATGCGTGCGTGGCGTCAGGTGACGTCACAGGCCGATATAGGCGCCGCCATCTTAATGTGTACCTAGATATACACCAAGATGGCGGCACCCAACACGTACGGTGTCATATGACGTCATGCGCCCTACCTCCAGAACAGGCCAGTGGCTGAATCCAAAATAGCATAAAAATTTGTCTTGTTTGAAGAAACGAATGAAAACGTTTTTAGTTTTCGTTTATTTCATCTGAAGCCAATTTTTAGTCATTGTACTAATGTCTAATAATACGTGTGTGTGTGTCTGCGTGTGTGTGTGGGGTGGGGTTAATTTTTACTTTTTAAAAATAATTTTTTACATTTTTTATTTTTGTTTTATTATTTATTTCTTTTTGACTGTTGGGGGGGGGGCTTCGGGGAAATATTAGGGGTCCAAACAGCCCCCTGACATTTCCATTTTAAAATAGAAAAAGAAATTGAGGACACAAAGTCCTCAATTTCTTTTTCTGCAGCCTCAGCACTCATTGAATGGGAAGCATTAAGTACAGAGGCTTCCCATTCATTCAGACACTGATGATAGTAAAATATTTTACTATCACCAGTTTCTGAATGGGGAGGAGCCTCTGTACTGTAGAGAGCCTCTGTAGTGAGTGCTTCTCCCCATTGAGAAATTCATTCATAACTGGGGACACATAGTATTATGTGTCCCCAGTTATTTACAAACATTGTAGTGAGAAAAAAGTAAAGAAGAAGGGTTTGTAGAGAGGTATAAAAAACCAATGCATATATGTAAACTTTTTTTTTTGCATGTAAATTGTTTTATTTGCGAGCAAAGTATAGTACAACATGCATGTAGTGTCAAGGTCACAAGGCATAAAAAATACAAATGACTAGTGAATAATAACAGAACAATACGTCAAGTAAAAGGACTATTTGGTAAAATTTGTTCAGGAAAACGGGATAGTTAATGACAATCAGCATGGGTTCAGGAAAGATCGATCCTGCCTGACTAACTTGCTAACTTTTTATGAGGGGGTAAGTAGAGATATGGACGGAGGGAAGCCGGTGGATGTGGTATATCTGGATTTCTCAAAGGAATTTGATACGGTACCACACAAACGCTTACTTCACAAGCTGAGGGCTATGGGCATAGATGAGGTGGTGTGTACGTGGATAGAGAACTGGCTACGGGAACGTGTCCAGAGAGTATCTGTAAATGGCACCTTTTCAGACTGGGCTAGTGTAATGAGCGGTGTGCCTCAGGGTTCTGTGCTGGGTCCCATATTGTTCAACTTATTTATTAATGACATCGGGGAGGGAATAAATAGCCATGTTTCCATGTTTGCAGACGATACAAAAATAGGGAGGGTACTAGAAACGGATCGTGACACTATAACATTACAGGAGGACCTGGATAAAATAGGGGAGTGGGCATTAATGTGGCAGATGAGGTTTATTTTTTTTAACAATAAGATTTTATTTGGTTTCAGATATAAAATAACAACATTGATATAGGAAAACCTTATTTCATATATCCTTATACATCTATCTCCATATATATACATACATGTATATCTATGTCTAATATACATCCCTTTATTTCCAAGACTTATCTATACCAGAAACCTTTATATGTGCCCCCCCCCCTCCCTTCCCCCCTT